CATGCCTATATGCAGAGCTGAGAATGATTTGACCCAGGATTTTACAAAATGAAAGTCAAGCTTTATTCTACTTCTGGTTACCTGCTGGGCATCTGTAGGGCCAAGTGAAGAGTCACCATTTTCAGGAAAAATCTCTTTTAAGTATCTGTCTGCCTCAGAAGAAAATACAAATCATGCTTTTAATGAGTAACAGGTTAAGGGCTCAGAAATTGTTTGTCTTCTGTCCCTATGGCATTCTCTATGTCAAAAGTAGAACAGAAAAATACAGTCATATAAAGAGATATGAGTTCTAATATTGGCTTCATCACTCCAGACCACATTTATCCACATCTGGATGGAAAGATATAAACTATATCACTGTTCTCAATCTAAAGTCTGCATATCCCTAGAGATTCTAGAATATAATAGAGAGGATCTATGACCTGCCAGTGGCCTCCACATAAACAAAAATGCAAATACTAGCTAAAGTAACATTTCTAAAGAATTTAACTATAACTGTATAGTTATTAATAAATATATAATTATAATTAATTTTATCCTATATCAAAACACTTGAAAAATGAATTATTTACAAAATTCAAAAATCATGGAGTCTTTTTCTCTGTGAATTTGAATGACTTCACATTATCAGTCAAGCCAAAATTCGTCTGATTGATCACCCTTATCTGTATAACTAACAGCATCCTCTATAACCATATTCCCTATAATTACTTCTGAGAATCTCTGAAAAGATATAAAAACTGCCAACAAACCAGTGAAATCTTATGCTTCCTCCTATCTTCTAGATAGTGTTTGCTTTTGGAAAATCCATCTGAGATAGTAAATATCCTCACATCAATTGCAGGCACCTTCTGAGGATGTCTGCCAAGCTCATAACTTTCTAATGCTGCAGGACCTTTGAGCTAATAAACCCTACAGTTTTATTGCAGCTAACCAAGGCTCTATTGAATACAAAAGAAGTATGTCTTCTCTATATTAAGCTCAGACAAATGCCATGGATCTTGGCTAAGTTAAAAGCTAGGCATGAATCCATTTGCTTTCACCTCTAACTTAGAGTTTCTGCTACCCAAAAACCCATCTCCTTTTTAGCCTTTCGATAGAAAAAAAAGAAAAAGTCTTTTTCTCTTTAGATTCCATTTTCCTACACATACTAATTAATTCACTGATAAATTGGGAGTCATGATAAACTGGTTTTTTAAATGGAATCTACAGAGGAAAAAGTAATAAAATAAGGTCATGGTAGAGATCAAGTTTGATAGCCCTGAGTTGATTTATGCTTCAACCTCCTTTCAGGACTCTCTTGATAGTACAACTTCTAGTATCAATTGGATGTGACCAGAAATGTGGAAATTTTCTTATCTGGCTTTCCCAGAATACCTCCTCCATATGTCCCTCCCACCAATCCAATATGCATTTTTAATTCTTTCCTCTCTTGTGCTAGTAATCATCACATATCTATGAAGTATAATTGTTATTGTTTGAACTGCTTTTATTTTTTCTGCTCTCATATGTCACCGAAGAGCAACTTAAGAACTTGACATTGATAAGCCTGTTTATATATTATTTAAAAATAATGTCTTTATTAGTGCTATAGAGATTTCATCTTATTTTGTCATATTGTAATAAATGCATTCCTACCCCCATTCAGAGAGTGAAAAATTGAGTAGTTTATTATTAGCCAATAAAAAGACAAAGCAAGGATACAAAATCAATCTGTCTGTTTTCAAGACCATATTGGTACATTTCTGCTCAGAAAAAGCTGAGAACAAGGAAGGAGACAAAAAGAGGCCTCAGTGACTAAAATAAATGCCATAGAGTCCATCTGCTAAAACTCATTAACTCATCCCCACGGGAACCCCTTTGCTCTTAATCAGAGCCTATTCAGTCTAATCCTAATCACACTTTCAGATTATCTGTTTTCTAAATCTATATCAAATAGGAAACAGCATTTTTTAAATTAGTGAGAGGAATTAGAGATGTAATTAACACACTCAGAGTAAGAGACATGAAAATATAGAAATCAGTCTTACAAACTGAAAAAAGAAAACAAAAACAAAACCCCAGCAGCTTAGGACTATTTAGAAATAAATAGCTCTACATCCTAATATCAATTTGTGTAACAGTTGCTCTTCATGAATACAAGGGACATCTTTTTGTTCCACTTATAATCCACTTACAATAACTCCATTACATCTTCCAGACAAGAATCAGCAGCTATGGGTTCTCATTTGCATTCATTTTCTTCTTAAAGATAGCTTTCTGCTTTAATTACCATTATTGGAAAACAATTGGTTTTCCCAACATGAAAAGTATATTTAGAGGAACATTCAGAATTCTATTACTGAAGATTACATACAATGTAAATCCACTTTTTATAAACCTCAAAGGATACAAAACAAAATAATGTATTATTTTAGAATACATGATGAAAAAACTTTTAATGCAAGGGAAAAAGGAAAATAAAAGTTGAAATAGTGCTTTCCTCCAGGAGATGACAAGAAAATGAATTAAGCAAATAACCCAATTTAAAAATAGGCAAAGGATCTGAATAGATATTTAACCAAAGAACATGTATCAATAAGCCAATAGTCCACAGAAAGAGCTGCTCAATATCATTATTTATTGGGAAAGTGCAAAATCAAAGCCACAATGAAGTACCATTTTTATCCATGAAGACGGGTATAATAAAATAAAGGAAACAATGACAAGTGTTGCAAAGATGTGGAAAAAATGGAACCTCATTCATCCCTGATGAGACTGTAAAATGCTACGGCCACTTTGGAAAAGAGCTGCTCAGTTTCTTTAAAAAGTTAAACATAGAAATATCATATGACCTAACTCCATTCTTAGGTGTCTACCCAAGGAAAATAAAAACATGCCCACACAAAAGCGTACACACAAATAATCTTAGGAACATTATTGAAAATAGTAAAAAACTGGAAATAATTCAAATGTTCATCAATTAGTGAATAGATAAAAATGTGATATAACTGTAGAATCGGTAATTAATTATTCAGCAATGACAAAGAATGAACAACTGATATGTGCCAGAGCATGGGCAAACCTCAAAAACGTGCTCAGAAAATTTTAAGGCAATAAATATATTTACCCTTATTTGAACATTACACATGTATACATGCATTGAGTATTCCATAATGTATACAGTTCTTATGTGTCAATTTCTTAAAAATTGAAAACATTATGTTCAGCGAAAGAAGCATATTTGATTCTATGCATACAAAATGTCCTAGAAAGATGAGACACAAAGCAGTTGTGGATTGCCCAAGACACGATGGGACTCCAAGTAGCTGTAAATGGGCACCAAGTTTCCTTCCAGAAAAAAGAAAAGTTCTACAATTCGACTGTGGGGATGATTGTACAACCCTGTATATATGGTATACTAAAATTTCACTGAATTGTACGCTTAAAATGAGTGCATTTCATCGTAAATAAATTATATCTCAATAAAACTATTTTTAAAAGCATAACAGATTTCATCTTTTTCCTCTAACATTTTAATTGCCTACCCACATTATTCAAAATCCTCATGGAATGCTACTTAATTGAAGCAACACATGACTATGCTGCTCATCTTCTAGTTTGCATAACTGTCAGAGGGAAAGGAGAAGCTTAATTACTTGCAAATTACTCTCGTTATCATCCCTACCAATTTAAACAGCCAGTGTGGTTATGAGTAATGTCACTAAAAATGTGGTAGCTTGCAGTTCCATCAACAGCAGGAAATAGTGACACCAGTGACCTTTACATCTTTGTCCATAACACAGGCACACAGAGCTTCCAGCCCTGCTTCTTTGCTAGTAGCTCATTTATATAAAAAAAAAAACCAAAAAAACAAATTCTAGATGATTTCATTTATACATGGGACCTAGATATGTCAAATTCATAGAAATAGACAGCTGCCAGAGGTGAGGAGGAGGTGTACGGAGAGGTGTTGGTCAAAGGGTACAAACTTTCACATGTAAGATTAATAAGTTCTGAGGATCTAAATCAAATGCACAGATGATAACTATAGTTAATAACATTGCATTTTATACTTGAAATTTTGTACTTGAAATTTGCTAAGAGAGTAGATCTTAAAAGCTCTCACCACAAAAAAAGGCAAAATCTTTTTTTTTTTAATTTTTTGGTATGGAGGATCAAACTTGGGACCTTGCTTTTGTGAGGCAGGCGCTGGAACCACTGAGCTAAATCCCCGACCACAAAATTCTTTTTTAAAAAACCCTATCAGACATTTTCCTGACTCACTTTTAAAAACATAGAGAGATGATCCACTAACAGGGAAAAATGGAAAAGTAGATGAACATGGCCAAATTACATCAAATTCATAAGAGCAAAACAGATTACCTTGGAGCCATGTTTGCTATTCCTCATTGAGAGAACTCACTGGGTTCTCAACATAGCCCTTGGTCAAGTTCAACAGTTTTTGCCATTTATATTTTCCCAGGGACTCAGGTGAGCATTTGTGACAATTTTTTAATTGAATCATGTCTAGTGTATTAATGCTCTGTGAGCTTTACAAGCATTTGGTATTCTTTAGAAGGCTGTGTTGAAAGCCTTTTATGAAAAGAGGCCCAGGATCAACATAATGCCTTTGTTTATCCTTTTTTGTAGAGCAGGTTATCATAGGGTTTTATTTTTTATACTTTTCAAACTGAAGAAGTCATTTAGGGAAACACAAAATGTTTTCCTGTTTTCCTCTGATTCCTGGATTATTGCCATGAGGCCAGAACTGTCAGAGCAAGGCAGAAAAGCCATTGAGAGCGCATTAGCACTGAGACACTCACAACCTAATTTTCTATTACTGTTGGTGCAGTAGGAAAATACAGTAGAGTGGCAAGCACACAAAATGAATTATTTTCTACTTTGTTTGTCACTTGCTGTTCAACCTGACAGGACTGACAGGTAGGAAAGAAAACAACATGGGGAATTCACTTCTTATTAGACTAATTTGGACTAATTAAGTATCATCTTCCAGGTACCTGGACTGTGTTCATTTTCATTGTTCAGGTACTTCCCCTTTCCTGAAATATCTTTGTCTTCCATCTATTCGTAAGGAAATTCTATATTTTGAAGGCTGAAAAAAAAAAAAAAACAGTGGGGAAACCTGAAAAAAATCTGTAGTTTAACAAATAACGCTGTTATCTATGTTAATTTCCCAGTTTTGATAATTGTGTCAAGAATTTGTAAGATGGGGGAAATTGCTAATGAGGGGCAATTGGGTAAAGAATATATGGGAGTGCTCTGTATATCTTTTCAAATGCAGAGGAAAAACAATAACCCCCATTTGTTTATATCTGGAATAGACCACTTTTTAAAAAAAGCAATTAATAAGAGAAAAAAGAAAAAGTTTATTAACATGTACATTTCATATATACAAGGGAGACAGTCAGAGAATGACTTCACAATTCACAAAGCAGTAACTTCAAATTCTACCTGGTAGAGCATCTTCAACAAAGAACAGTACATTTTTTGCCTTCAGATCAATAATCCTCCATATTTGGTGGTGGCATATTCTGGTCTCCCACACAATTCTTCTGTAAATCCAAATATATTTCAGAATAAAACCACTCAAAGAAAAAAATACAGTAGAGTTACTAAACCCAAAACATTAAGAAAAATTCTACTCCTTATACTAGACTCGGTATCAGATACTATTTTCCCCATGGTGTCTGCTTTTATTCAACAGTGAGAAGTAAAATTCTATATTTATTTACCCTCATAGTCTATTTTTATACAACACATATCATAGCCTAACTTTTACCACCAATCCATTTGTTTAATTTCACCTATTAGGAAGGCAGAATAGGTTAGAATCAGAAAAATATGGTTTAAATTCTAGCTCTTCCACTCTTGGTAGAATGAGGAACTTTCCCTGAACTTCAGTGTGGTTTTTCATGTTTATATATTTGTTAAACATTCTCGCTGTCCTCAACATTCTGCTCAATTATTATTGTCCTCCTTTCAATATAATATTTTCAGTTCTCAACAGTATACATTTGTTCTCCATCTAGTACAACCCATTGAATTTTCTTGTCAGTGTACAGTAAATAGGAAGAAAAGAGTGTTTTTATTTTTCCACAGGGTTATTGAGTACATCTGTCATGTTCTTGGATCTGTCATACCACTTGAAAGAGATGCTGCTCAAATCCACAGTGTTTCCACAAATGTGTTAGTATCTTCATTCCAAAATCATAAAGCAAACATTGTTTATCCCAGTCCTGTCCCTTTTTGCCTATATGCTTTGAGTCTTCCCCAAAATATACAGTGCTAGAGTGAAACAGGATTACACTTTTCATTCACTTTTGTATGAATATTGTGAAAATGTTCACTAGCATAAGCTTAATTGTTCTCTCATTCATTTATGCTTTCAGAAAGGGTGGTTGAACAGTTGGTACCTAGCAGCCCCTGAGCTACATACTGAAAATATAAGCCACAATGAAACTACAGTTCCCTCCCTAAAGGAGATCTCATCTTCTGGAGAGATAGACTTGTAAACAGCTCATTATAATGCACTGTGGAATGTGCAATAATAGAGATGTTCCAGAACATTATGGGATCATAAAAGAGCATTTCAGTCTGGGGAGAAAAGGAGTGTCAGATCAGGCAAGGCATCCTTGGAAAGATGAGGCCTGATCTGACTCTAAAGCAGGATTCTGCATGGAGGTCACTAGGGGAACTTTAATACAAAGTGAGTGCTGGAAGCCACTTGCATACATTCTGTTGTCATTGGCCTGCAGTGTTGCCTAGACATCAGGACTTTTAAAAGCCATGATATTCTAAAGAATGTGTAGAAACTAGCCAAACAGAACAAAGTGGGAAGGGCATAAAATGAAGCTATGTTAAAGCAGAGAACAGTGCGAGTAAAGGCATTGAGGCAAGAAAGCATGGTGCGTGATGGATAGGGCACACATTCCAGTATTGTGAGGATGCGCATGATAGCAGTGGTGGGCAAGGAGGCAGGAGAGGGTAGCAGGGAGGCCACTGTGCTGCCTCAGGACAGCAGACTGAGGGCAAGGAAAGGGATGGAATTTCACCATAAACAGTATCCTCTGCCAGCTGAATGGAGGTTGGAAGACATATCAGGAGATCCATGTGATGCTGAGTAAAAGTGGAATCTTTAAATGGCATTGGGAAAAGATTCCTAAAAATGTTCACCAAGTCTTACTGGAGACCCTCAAGGATCATTTGCATGTGGTGAGTGAGGTAGAAAGGAATCTGGTGAACAGGTGGATGGAGATTAGTACCTACTGAGACACAGAAGATAGTAATAACAGCTTTAGGAGGAAATATGATCTGCTCAGTTTGGACCCAACGCATTTGAGGTGCCTGTGGAGTGTTCAGGTGGATACATGGTGTTAGCCATCTGCTCCAGGTTTAAAGATGGGTAAGAACATTACATTGGACTCTTTCAAGGTTGCTTTTGTTTAGGTTGCTTCTGACCCAGCAAATAAGCAGCACAAAGATAAGAATGCAATCAATGGTTGATATAGTCTCCCATTGCCTCCTTTTTATTGTAAGTGCATATATGGCAAAAGAAGTGCCTTTGTAATGTATGTGGGCAATATGTCCACTGGAACAATTTGCTGGCTTTTGCAATCTTGGCATTGTCTGTACCCAGTAACTTATGGTAACATGAACAATTCTGCTGTTACACAGACCACATCAGATTCTATGTTAGCACTGCAAAAATACATTATCTCCTCAAGTCAGTATGTTTATATACCACACTTAGTTTTTATTCTACCCCAATAGGCAATAATATTTAGAGGTAAGCAATTAAGGACAAAGCTTCCCTATAATTAATGGTAGGTTATGAGAAAAACAAGTCTTAGACCAAATTATGTCAGGCAGACATTTATGAGTGTCCTGGCTATCAGTTCTCATGCCATAGATTCACTCTTAAGATTCACTGGGTTAAAAAGCAGTTTTATTGTTATTGCCTGTGGTTCTGAGGTGGGACTGATCCCAGCTGGGTGCTTTCTTGGGGTCTCTTTAGAGCTCTGGGAACAGCTTGGACTAAACATCCAAGATGGCCACTCATATGGCTGACATTTCATGTTGGCTTTGTCTGGGAGCTCAGCTAAGGCCAAGATGCCTATGGACTCTTCCTTGTGGCCTGGGCTTCCCACAGAATGGCAGCTGGTGGAAACTGCTGGGCTAGTTAAGGGCTATGTGCAGAACCAGCATAGAATATTTTCTGCCAAATTATATCACCACCACAGCCATAGGGGCTTTTCAGATTCAAGGGGATGACAAACCAGCATACCATATTTTGATAGAAAAATGGCAAAGTGACACTGTAGAAGATCATTTAGTCTTCTGTGGAAAATACAATCTGTGCTAGCTGTCTGTGGAAGGTCTTCCTTAATTAGCAAACAGGCATAACACTGTCATCAACTTGTTTATTAAGAATTATGAAGTCTTAGTCCTTTGTTCTTTCTAGTGCTCTAAGAGTGCTTTCCATAAAAAAGCTTTACCTAAGACAAGGGTAAAGCCATTCCAGAGGCAGGCTATGGTTGATCTTTTTTAAAACATGTGTTATTAAAGAACCGAGACTACCTGAGCCCATGGGACACTTTACGGATCACTTCTAGGTTATCATCCCAACAGTTACAGCCTACAGGGCTCATTAAACTCCCATGCTCTGTTATGGTATATATGTAGATGTCCCTCAAAGCTTCATGCATTTATAGGTGCAGCTTTGGGGAGGTAATTGGATTATGGGGCTTATAGCTGATTTGCACTTCTGGTCAGAAGAGTCGAGTTATGGAGGTCATGCTTCAAAGGGTTTTTCTCCCTCCCTGGCAATGCTCTTTCTCTCTCTCTGATTCCTGAATGTGATGCGCCTCTGCCATGCTGCCCTGACTTGGAGCCAGCTGACTATGGACTGAAACCTCCACAAATTGTGAGACAAAATAAACCTCTCCTTCCTTAAGTTGTGGATGTTGGGTATTCTGTCCCAGAAATGAAGAAAGTAACTATGAAAGAATGGTGGATAACTACAAAATATTTAGCACATATATTTTTGTACTATTAATTAGATGCTATTTTAAAGGAATATGCAGATAACACAACAGAGGCCTGGGAATTTGCCATATAAATCTCCTTAGAAGTTTCTGATAATAAATATGTTCCTCACCCAGCACAAATGCCCAGCAGATTATTACATATGAAAGCCTGAGCCTTTGCAGAGAGCAAAGGGTTGGAGTTTTTGACTTAGTAAACATCTGGATAGACATCTTGGAACCACTTTTTCCCTATTAAAATTATGAGAATGGATGCAATAACTCAGGAAGGGTGAGTACAATGAGGAAAGCAGTGATTTTTAGTCAATTTCTGGGAATCGCCTATGAAGCTGGGCCTGCAATAATATACATAAATTTTAATCATAAAAGTTAAGTGGATAGGTTATCTTGGTTCCAAGATGTTGAATAAGCCAAAGGAAGAGTATCAAGTCACTGCAAGGAATTTTGAAGGCTCTAGCTAGACCTAAGCTTCACAATGGTAAAGTAGCCAAGGCCTAGAAGCAACAGACAGCCAGAAGAGTGCCAGTCCATTTTGTGACCCTTTGGCATATAAGACTGGAAAACAACTTTCAGCGTAGAATGCAGAATCTTCGAATCTTCTATCAAGAACCAAATTTGAGTGGACACATGAGGAAATAAAACTCAGAGTTATTTACATTTTTTACAAATGTGAATATCTTATCTCTGCAGGAGAGGGATGGCTAAAATGTGGTTAATTTTGTTCTGTTTCTATGCATGGTGTCTGTTTTCTACACTGATACCAGCATAATAATTACAGCAATGCCGTTTCCCAAAACCTTGACACATGGGACTATGAGACTATCTACTCTAACAGGTTTTGATCCATTCATCTGATAAACCATCCTTACATAAAAGACCAGTTAATTTTCCTTAACAGAAAGGGGCTTCATTTTAATTACAAGATTGTAGTTAAGATGGTAGGCTCTTAATTGCAGGAGAGATTTGGAAGATAAGTGTTTTATTTTCTCTTGAGGATATGCTTGTCCCCATCTCATCTGTTGTTTTCTTTTTAGTAAACGTACAATGTAGTGGAATTGCAGCTTCCAGGGAATGCTGTTAAGCTACTTATGAAAATAGTCTGTGTATTCACAATAGTCAATGTCTTGCCTCTCTGTATGTGTTTCATTTAAATTACAAAATTGGCACCCTTTTGAATGCCATTTCTTTGTTCAGACCACCAGGACCTTTGCAAAAAAGATTAGGTGAACATCAAGCATGATTTTCTATCACTCTGAAGCTGAAACAAGGTGACTAATATTGTCATTGTTGTTTGAGGACAACAATAAGAGAAAATGCTGCAGTGTTCCAGATCTCAAATTTACTTTTCTCTTAGCTAATACCCACAGTGTCTGCATTGTAAACTTTCTAGCTCCACCACCAGAGATGAAGAAAAAACCACTGACCTTACTTCCTCCAAAAGAAAATGCCTGTATGCTAGCTATGCTATCTAAACTTTGTGTAAGTTTTGTCTCCAATGATTATATAGAAGTAACTGGAAAGCTTCACACACAGCAATACAACAGAAGGAACTATAAACTTCATGCTTGTTAAAGCTGGGGTTAAATTTATTTTTTTAATTTGGGACAAATTGACATTATGTGTCCCTAATATGATGCACTGAAGATGTAATACCAATACTCCTACAAAAATGATTAAATTGAATATAAGGATAAAGACACAGTCAGACAAATCCTGAGATATTGTTTAAAACTGAGATCTTGTATGAAAGTCTGTACTTTCAAAAGTATCAGTATTATACAAGGAGAGAAATGAAAATGAGAAACTGTTTTAGATTAAAGGAAAGTAAAGACAAGTAAATGCAATTCATGATTCCTGATCAGACCTTGGATTTGGAGGGAAAAAAAGATAACCAATAAAAGACAACTAGGGAAGTTGAAATATGGGCCTTATGTTATATAGTAGAATAATGTTAATGTAAATTATTGGGGTATGGTTTTGAATAGTGATTATATAGGAGAATTTCTTTTTTCTGATAAGATACAGGCTAACATAGTTGCAAGTGAAAGATTTATTTTTTGCATATAAACAATAGTCCCAGTGTGGATAAGCCTAGTTGTCTTGCTTTCCTGGGTGACTCTACTCCAGGATGTAACTCTGAGACTCATACTTCTTCTAAGAGGTTGTTCTACCACATGGTCATCTGTTTCCAGAAAAATGGACAGGGAAAGATAGAGAGGAAGGTCCCACAAATGTTTTATAGCCAGGTCTAGAAGCAGCAAAAATCACCTCCACCCACTACACTTTAGCCAGATACAGGCTTATGCTCACAAGCAGTAGCAAAAAGGGCTACAAATGTAGTCTTCCTGTGTACATCAAAGGAGAATG